TAGTGAGTGTCAAAGTCGGCCATCTCGTCTCTACCACTTCGAGATTAGGCTTGATACTTACTGGGTACACGTTGTTTACGTACTCATACTACACTTGCTGCACTTTTTGTGCAGGACCTGAGGCAAGTACTAGTGGGGGACCTATCGTCTTACACCCATGTTATCCATGGGCATAGTGGTGAGCTGCACTTTCTGAGCCGTTCTGCAGCTACTAGTGTTTCTCCTTGTATTTTGCATTCTGGCTATTTTAATTTCAGACAATATTTGAGGTTTTGTATAATCTACTAGATGCTCATACACTTGTGACACCAGGTTTTGGCACACACATTTGTAGAATTTGGTGTTTTATTATTTTTCTTAGTTTTAAATTGTATCAATATATGCTTAATTTATTAAGTTGGCTTGCCTAGCTGTAGTGTTGGGCGCCATCACGATCTATAGGTGAAATTGGGTCGTGACAAGATTGTTCGCCTCCATGGCGTGCTAGTGTCCATCATTTCAGATCGGGGCACGCAGTTCACGTTGCAGTTTTGGAAAGCCGTGCAACGAGAGTTGGGTACCCAAGTTGAGTTGAGCACAACATTTCACCCTTAGATGGACGGACTGTCCGAGCGCACTATTCAAATATTGGAGGATATGCTACGCTCTTCCGTCATTAATTTTGGGGGTTCTTGGGGTCAGTTTCTGCCACTCGTGGAGTTTGCCTTCAACAATAGCTACCAGTCAAGCATTCATATAGCTCTATATGAGGCCTTGTATGGGAGACGGTGAAGAACTCTTATGGGTTGGTTTGAGCCTAGGGAGGCTAGGCTATTGGGTACTAACTTGGTTCAGGATGCTTTGAAAAAGGTTAAGATAATTCAGGAGCGGCTTCGCATGGCGCAGTCTAGATAGAAGAGTTATGCCGACAAGAAGGTCCGTGATGTTGCTTACATGGTTGGGGAGAAGGTACTGCTCAAGGTTTCACCCATGAAGGGTGTTATGAGGTTCGGGAAGAAGGGCAAGTTCAGCCCTCGATATATTGGTCCATTTGAGGTACTTCAGAGGATTGGAGAGGTGGCTTACAAGCTTACCTTGCCACCTAGTTTGTCGTATGTGCATCCAGTATTTCATGTTTCTATGCTCCGGAAGTATGTCGGCGATCCGTCTCATGTTTTGGATTTCAGCACAGTTCAGTTGGATGGTGATTTGACTTATGATGTGAAGCTGGTGGCCATTTTGGATCGGCAAGTTCGAAAGTTGATATAAAAGGACATAGCTTCAGTAAAGGTGCAGTGGAGAGGTTAGCCAGTTGAGGGGGCTACTTGGGAGACCGAGCGGGAGATACAGAGCAGATATCCACACCTATTTGAGAGTCCAGGTATGTTTCTAGACCCGTTCGAGGACGAACGTTTGTTTAATAGGGGAGGATGTAATGACTCAGATGGTCGGTTTGAGAGTTGTAGCACGTTCCCACATTTACTACTTATTTTGTACTTTATATCTGTTATGTAACTTGCCGGGGTAGTCGGTTAGGGTCTGGTGAGATTTCTAGATGAAATGAGAGAATTAGTTTTAAGGTTGAAAGTTTAAGTTGAAATTATTGACTAGATGTGGATCTTTGAGTAAACGACTCCAGAATAGAGTTTTGATGGTTCGGTTAGCCCCGTTTGGTCATTTTGGATTTAGGAGCATGTCCGAATTGTGATTTAGAGGTCCGTAGTGGAATTAGGCTTGAAATGACGAAAGTTGAATTTTTGGAAAGTTTGACCGGGAGTGGACTTTTTGATATCGGAGTTGGATTCCGATTCCGGAAGTTGGAGTAGGTCTGTGGTGTCATTTGTGACTTGTGTGCAAAATTTGGGGTCGATCGGATGTGATTTGATTGGTTTCGACATCGTTTGTAGAAATTGAGAGTTTAAATTTGATTAGGCTTGAATCTATGTGCGATTCTTGTTTTTGATGTTGTTCGAGGTGGTTTGAAGGCTCAACTAAGTTCATATGAGGTGCTAAGACTTGTTGGTATGTTTGGATGAGGTCACGGGGGCCTCAGGGTGATTTCGGATGGTTAGCGGGTTGAACTGAAGTTTGAGGGAAGTGCTAAAGCTCACCAGCTTCTGGTGTAATTGCACCTGCGGAGTGGGGATCGCAGGTGCGATCTCACAGAAGCGAGAGGTGAACCATAGAAGCGGAGTTGGGCTGGCCTGGGCACGGCACAGGTACGACGAATTTACCCATCTACGATTTCGCAGGTGCGAGCAAGGCCCCGCAGATGCGGAATTTAGAGACAGGCTTGTTTCCGCAGAAGCGGCTACGTAGGTGCGGAACATCGAGCACAAATGTGGGCCTGAGGAAATTAAATGGCTTCCGTAGAAGCGGGGAATTGACCGCAGGATCGGTTCCGTAGGTGCGGATATATGGCCACAAGTGCTAAAAGCCTGGGCAAATTATTAAATAAGGTTTCTCGATTTTGGCTTCATTTCAAACATTTCAAGCACGGTTTAGGCTATTTTGAGAGGTTTTTCGAGGGGATTCTTGAGTTAAGTCCCTTATGCTTATTTTTTATCAATAATATTGCTTCCCCATTGATTTTCCCACCTAGTTGGTGTGTATTTAAGGTGTAAATTTAGGAGTTTGAGTCTAGGGATTTGGAGAGTTTGATTTGGAAATTTAGGGGACGATTTGGTGTCGGATTTTGATAGATTTGATATGGTTAGACTCGTGGTTGAGAGGGATTTCGTGTTTCGTGACTTTTATCGAATTTTGAGACGTGGGCCTGGGGGCCGGCTTTTGAGCCAATTTTTGATTTTGATTAATAACTTAGCATTTTCTTATGGAGTTGATTGCTTTAGCTCGTATTGATTATATCGCATTGTTTATGCCTAGATTCGAGGCATTCAGAGATCGTTTCGCGAGGCAAGGGTTTGGGGTAAGTAACAGTTCTAAATTTGGTTCTGAGGGTACGAAACCCCGTATTACATGTCATGCATTTCGTTTTGAGGTGACATACATGCTATGTGACAGGCGTGTGGGCATGCACCGTAGGAATTGTGATTTGGTCAAATTCCGTGGAACCGTGTAGTTGTATAATATGTTGTTATCTGTACATTCTCTATGTGTTAGGGAAATTGAACCACAAATCATGTTTAGACTACGTGTTGGCATTGTAGGGACCCATAGAGGTCATGTACAGGTTGAATTATCTCCTAAATTGTTGTTTTGTACTCAGTCACTATTTATTATATATTACATCTTAGTCTCTATTGTTCATTTTTTATGCATCATATTATTGCTGTCTTGGATGCTTATTATGATTTCTGGGAGCCTGAGAGACTGGAGTGGTTGATGTCTGAGTGAGGCCAAGAGCCTGATTATGAGGTATTATACTATAGCATGTGAGTTATCCGTGCGGATCCAGATATTATACTATAGCACGTGAGTTATCCGTACATCACGTGAGTTGTCCGTGCGGATTATATTGCTTAGGCTGAAGGAGCCCCTCTGGAGTCTGCACACACCCTAGTGAGCGCAAGTACCTACTGAGTACGAGTGCCGAGTGTTGAGAGAATGGGAAGGCTGAGTGACTGTGGCCCTGAGAGGATGCATTTGATTTCATTATTATTTCACTTAGCTGCCATGTACCATTGCCTTGAAAGTTCTGGAAGGTATTACACTCTGTTTCACTTTAACTTGTCATGGAATAACTGTTTGACCTAATTTATCGAACTTGAGAGCATGCCTACTTTCTTATGTTGAAATCACTATGATTGAACTATAAGTGTGAAGCTCGTCACTAATTTCAGTTCTTTATTTAGCATTGTTACTTGCTGAGTTGGTTGTACTCATACTACACCCTGCACTTCGTGTATATATCCAGGTGTTCCCGAATGCAATGGGTGTTAATTTCCGCGCATAGTTGATATCCTGGAGATTTAGAGGTAGTTGCCGGTGTTTTGCAGACCTTGTTTCTCCTTCCCTATCTTTCCACTTATTTTATTTAGTTTCAAGATTATCATAGACAGTATTTTCTGGACTTGTGATGTATAAATGTGCATGTACTCAGTGACACCCCGATATTGAGAATTTCCGCGTTGTATTTTGGATTTTCTATCCTGTTTATGAGAAGTTGTTATCATTTAAACTGCTTTAAATCCATTTTCTGTTAAGTGTTGGAGTTATTTCATAAATGTCATCTTGCCTAGTACCACGATAGGCGCTATCACGACAGGTTAGGATTTTGGGTCGTGACAAGAAGGCATTAGAAAAAGTGCATGAGCAAGATCTAAATCAAGCCACAGGAAAGAAGCGAGCTACAACACCCTTCCCGCAGAGGTTGGCAAAATATCATAAGGATGAGTAGTAAAAAACATTCATGGAAATGCTGAAGCAAATTCAGGTAAACATTCCTCTAATTGATGCTTTGAGGGAGATACCCGGTTATGCGAAAATGATGAAGGACTTGATGTCTCGTAAGTTCGACTTCCAAGACTTGGCAACTGTCACATTGATACAGACCTGTAGTACTGTTGTGACAAGACCTATAGCTGAGAAGCTATCTGACCCTGGAAGCTTCAAAATTCCATGCACCATAGGTAGCTATGCATTCGCCAAAGCATTGTGTGATTTGGGGGCAAGCATTAATCTGATGCCATTGTCTATCTATAAAACGTTAGGTATTGAAAGAGCAAGGCCCACATCCATGTTACTATAGCTAGCTAACCGAACGGTGAAAAAGCCATTAGGTATATTTGACGATGTGGTTGTGCAAGTTGGGAAATTCGGTGTTTCCAGCATATTTTGTCATTCTGGATAACCAAATTGATGAGGAGATTCCCATAATTTTGGGAAGGTCGTTCTTGGCCATAAGAAGAGCTCTGATTAATTGTGAAATGGGGAAGCTGAAGATGAGACTGAATAATGAAGAAATAACATTTAATGTGCAAAGGTCTATGTGGCGACCCAGTGAGTTTGCAAATTGCTCTTTGATAGATGCAGTGGATGTGATCATGGAGGAAGATGATGAGGCACTTAATGCAAAAGACCCTTTAATAGCCTGCCTCATGAACTTAGAAGAAGTAAATGGTGAAGACTTGGCAGAATAGGTGTTGGCTCTTCAAGGGCAAGGGTACTAGAAAAGAGAGCTCGAATTTGAGCTTTTACACTCGGAAGAAAGAAAAATCCCTCCAGCCAAGCCATCGATCGAAGCGCCACCACAATTGGAGCTGAAACCGCTACCATCTCACCTCAGGTATACTTTCTTGGGACCTAACTCGACTTTACCTATTATTATCTCATCTGGTTTGTTAGATATGCAGGTAGAACAACTTTTGATGGTGTTGAAAGAGTGACAGACTGCAATCAGTTGGACAATCGTAGACATTAAGGGTATCAGCCCGGCCTTCTGTATGCATAAGATTCTACTGGAACTTGGGCACAAACCTTCTAGAGAACATCAAAGAAAGTTGAACCCTAACATGAAAGAAGTTGCAAAGAAGGAAATGATCAAGTGGTTAGATGCGGGAATTATGTTTTCCATCTCTGATAGCAATTAGGTTAGCCCAGTTCAGTGTGTGCCAAAGAAAGGTGGGATAATTGTTGTGAAAAATGAGAACAACGAGTTGATCTTAACGAGAATAGTCACGGGATGTCAAATTTGTATAGATTACAGAAGATTGAACAAGGCCACCTGAAAAGACCATTTTCCTTTGCCGTTCATTGATCAGATGCTAGATAGATTGGCCGGGAGGTTCAAGTTTTGCTTTTTTGGATGGATAGTCGGGGTATAATCAGATATCTATTGCCCTGGAAGATAGAGAGAAAACATCATTCACCTGTCCATATAGCATTTATGCTTTTCGGAGAATGTTGTTTGGCCTATGCAATGCACCCGCCATATTCCAAAGGTGCATGATGGCCATCTTCACAGATATGGTAGAGGACATAATGGAGGTTTTCATGGATGATTTCTCAGTGGTTGGAAACTCTTTCGATGATTGCCTTAGAAATCTGAAAAGAGTGCTGCAGAGATGTATGGAGACTAATCTGGTGCTAAACTGGGAAAAATACCATTTTATGATACATGAAGGTATAGTCTTGGGACACCTAGTGTCAAGTAAGGGCATTGAGGTGGACCGCACCAAGATTGATGTAATAGAGAAGTTTTCACCACCCACTTCCGTCAAGGAAATAAGAAGTTTTCTTGGTCACGCTGGTTTTTACAGGCGGTTCATAAAAGATTTTTCCAAGACTGCTAACCTTTTGTCTAAATTGCTTGAAACAAATCACCCTTTTGTGTTTTCTAATGATTGCAGGGTAGCTTTTGAGGGATTGAATAAGAGGCTAGTGTCTGCACCTATCATAGTTGCACCCGACTGGGAGAAACCATTTGAGCTAATGTGTGATGTAAGTGACCATGCTGTGGGAGCAGTACTTGGACAGAGAAAATATAAAATCATGCACCAATCTACTATGCAAGTAGAACATTGAATGGCGCTCAACTGAATTACACAGTGACAGAAAAAGAGATACTAGCAGTGGTGTTCACATTTGACAAATTCTGGTCCTACTTGAAAAGCTCAAAGGTAATTGTTTATACTGACCATGCTGATCTCAGGTACCTAATTGATAAGAAGTAGGAAAATTCATGCTTGATTAGATGGGTTCTACTGCTGCAAGAGTTCGACTTAGAAATCTGTGACTGAAAAGGAACGGAAAACCAAGTTGCAGATCACTTGTCCAGGCTTGAAGGAGCTAAAATGAAGGTTGAGGTGGAAGAGATCATGGAAACTTTCCCAGATGAACAACTGTTAGCCATGAGCCTTGAGTTAGCGCCATGGTATGCAAATATTGCAAACTACCTAGCAAGTGATATTGTTCCCTATGACTTGTCTTATGTGTAGAAGAAAAAGTTCTTTCGTGATTGTTGCATGTATTTATGGGATGAACCATATTGTTTTAAGATTTGTATTGATAACATGATCCGGAGATGTATTCCTGAGATAGACCAAGCTTATGTTTTGCAGGCATGTCATGCTTCGCCTTATGGAGATCATTTTGGAGAAGTAAGGACAACTGCTAAAGTGCAGGAGTCAGGCTTTTATTGGTCGATGTTGTTTAAAGATGCACAATATTGGGTAAAGAGTTGTGATGAGTGTCAAAGTACGGGGAATATTTCCCGTCGACATGAGATGCCCATGAACCCAATTCAAGAGGTATAGGTTTTTGATGTATGGGGAATCGACTTTATGGGACCATTTGTCAGCTCATACAACAACAAGTATATACTCGTAGCAGTGGACTATGTCTCGAAATGGGTAGAAGTTGTAGCACTCCCAACAAATGATGCAAAGGGATTTATTGGTTTTCTAAGAAAAAATATCTTTACCTTATTTGGAACTCCAAGACGATCATCAGCGATTGAGGAACTCATTTTTGCAATCGAGCCTTTGCAAAGTTGCTGGAAAAATATGGCGTACGCCATAAGGTTGCCACTCCGTATAACCCACAAACAAATGGGCAAGTTGAGGTGTCAAACAGAGAAATCAAGAGTGTTTTGACCAAAACTGTAAATGCTACTCGGACTGATTGGGCGAGAAAATTGGATGATGCACTATGGGCCCACCGTACTGCATTCAAAACTCTAATTGGTATGTCACAATACAAATAGGTGTTTGGAAAGGCATGTCACTTACCGGTGGAGCTAGATCATAGAGCTTTTTGGGGATTAAGGCAATTAAATCTTGACATGGAAGCCTATTATAGTACCCCAGAAAATTTCGAAATACTTTAGCGCTATTAAGAAAGTTGATGTGTGTTAATTACATTATTTTGTGTGCAGACGAGGACTATTAATATGATGGATATTAATTGGATATGATAATAAGTGTACGAGGTGTATTTGAAGTGATATAGGGCTTAAGGAGAGACCTTGGGATAAATCAAGTTGGAAATTACATGATAGACTAAAGTTTTAAATAAGTACACATAAGATCTAACTTTGGATGAGAATATCTAAACATATATAAGGGTTTATATGATGGAAAACCTATAAAATGCAATATCTTCAATTCTAGGTTCTAACACTTCAAACCGTTTGTCGTTTAAACATTCCTACAAGAAGTTATGACCAAATTACCAAAGGCTGGTAGAGGAGTGAACTGCAGATGTGAAGCATCCGGGGCCACGTCTGAAAGAAAGGCTGGCAGTGAAGTGTTGCCATAGCATCCAAGTCCGCGTCCAAGCTTTGAAGAGGAGTGAACTGGGGATGCGAAGCATCCGAGGCCGCGTCCAAAACCCAAAATTCCGGGCTTATAAATACAAAGTCGGGGAGGAGAGTATTTTAAGTATTGGGGTTAGGGTAGTTGAGGTGAAGGGGGGATTTTAAGCCCATATCAAGTCCAATCAACAAAGGTAAGTTGTTAATGATATTTTGGGTTGATTCTTACTCAATATACATGAGTTCTCACATCATTCTTTCATCCAAATGCTAGATTTCATCATCAAATCCTCAAGAACACTAAAATCACCAAAGTTGTAATTTTTGAAGATTGGGCTACTAGAGGTAATTTCAATGCTTCAAACTCGTTTATTATGAGTAGTTAGAAGTATTTGAAGCATTTGTTACAAGTTTTAATGGTTGAAAGAATAGATTATAAAACTCTAGTTCATGGCATGAATAATACTTTTGAGAAAATAAGAGAGAAGATGAGTATTAATCTTGGCGATGAAATTGATGAATACAATGAACCTATGGAGTTATTTGTTAGCAAAAGTTGGAAGTGATCAACTAAGTAATCATCCGAATTGTATATTTTGCAAGTGTTGATTATGAAAGACGATGAATAGTAACTTAGTGGCATTGGACAATTGATGTAGTATCATTACTGATTTCAAATGGGTATTAAAATATAAGAATGAAGATGAATGGTCTATCTTGTAAATCTATTTGGCGATTTGAGTTGTTGGAGGCTTGTAGCTAACTTATGAGCCATATATGGATATTGATCAATATCTTAGGTCATATTTTGATGTAATTAGGATATCTAATTGTAGATATCGACTTGTTGGTGATGTTGAGTATTTTAATCAACATTGAAAGGATGAAAAAGGATTGAAGGCTTGTGAATGTTAATAAAGCGAAAGCGAGGTAAGTTGATTAAAACTTACTCTTCTTGAGGGACTTTATCTAAGAGCATGTTTCAAGTTAATACTTAAGTTGTTTGCAAATATGCTTTCGTGCTTGTCGGGACAAACAAGTACGGATGTCTCCATGTACTAGAATATTATGTTGCATATGTAGTGTCATGCCGTTTTATAAAATTTTATTTTAAACCTTGTTGGCAGAATGACACTCAAGGTAAATGTTATTAGTTTTTATCAAAACTTATGTATTGACAAGAGTATACATATTTAAGTGCTAAAGATAAGTTTTCATGGAAAGAATTTCTTTTGAAAATTTACGAACAGAATAGCACTTGTGGTATCTTTTAAAGATTGATGTTAAATTGCTAAAGGCTTTAGCATGTAAAAGGTTGTTTATTTTAATTTTTGTTCAAATGATTTATATTTTCTATAAATGCTATGAGTTGATAAAAATAGATCCTTTGAATCTAATATGCTATGAATCTATTTTTGAAGTATCAAATATTTTGGGATTTACTTGTGTTCACCGAGATTAACTTCGGATATATAGTGTTCGTTGTCATGAAAGTCGCTGTAGGCGTAGATGGCCACTTTGTGGTATAGACTATGGCAGAGTGCTCTCCCTTGAGAGAGTATTATTTTGTACTATTATTAGCACGGCTGAGTCGATTCGTACGGCACTACGATGAGACGACCTGAGCAAGTAGGGTATGTCATACTTGCCGCTAGGTACATAATCTAGTTGACCTTCTTATGTCGGTGATGGTATAGTACTCCCACTGAAAGGTAAGGATGATTTTCTTATGTTTAGGCCTAAGGAGCCAAAAGTGATTTCAATGTCTTAAAGCAAACAGAATAATTTTGTATGATTTTATCCAAAATCTTGGATTGATGTAAATGATTTAAAAGTTTATATTGTGGGTTATATTTCAGTTCGTTGTTATTTAAAATGACAAGGGTC